CCCCAAAACCCCAAAACCCCAAAACCCCTCAGAGAATAATTAAGGAATATAATGGAAATTAAATTTTATTTACATGCATAATTTATAAATCATAGAACCAATAGAGATTTACTTATTAAGACATTAAATGTATCATCATTCTGTAATAAATTATTTTTGTCAAACTTGCAAATGAATACGCAATTCTAAGTATTTTAATAGAGTTTATCTTTATTCTTCTGCTAAGATTTATAAAATTTATGAAGTCAGCCCTTTAATTTTTCCCATTAATATATTGCGGCTGTCCAATGACAACTCTACACTTCAACATAGTATAATTATTGTTTCTATAATTTAATCGTAAATCCTTAACATCATGCAGCCTCAATGCTACATCTTTTATCTGACTTTAATATATTTAAATAATCTCAAATATTTTGGAATTAGCTTTGTTAAAATTTAGAAAAAGTCGAATTCATATCCAAAATTTATTAAAGAATTTATCTATTTAAAGGTCAAGCCAAAGTAATATAGTAAATAAAAATACTTGCTAGACATGGATAAAGATACTAAAGAATCATTGCTCAATAAGAATGTAAGTGATCAAATGGATAATTAATTCTTTGCTTAATAGTTTGAAGTGACTCAAAAAGGAGACATCAACCTAAATAATGACGATTTCCCTCCTCCTTAAGATGATAAGACCCATAAAATATAAGAAGAAAAATAATTGACTATTCCGGAAATAATGGAATAAGCTTCAGCGCTCGAGCAACATGCAGTCTAGGAATTTCCTTTTAATTCCAAAGACTCTAAAGCTTAGATCGGAAGAGACTCCAATCTAGTTTATGCTCCTTAAAATCTAAAACTGATTTAATTTTGGTCTTTGAATGGCCGCAAGGATGTTAATAGCATTGAAATCTAAGAAAACGTTCATGAAATAAAAGTTACAGACTATTTCATTATTGCTTAAGTCACTGATCAAGATAAGCGAGCTTATTTTATATACGATGCTTTCTCCTTAAAATATCTGGGCAAAGCGGAATCTGCCAGGAATATAATGATAGAAGCCAAATCTACAAAGGATCTCCTTATAATATCAGACTCTAGAGGTATTATAAATACCATTTCTATCAATGATAAATCTAGAATCACCTAGTAAATTTTTTAAAATGAAGATGGATCTGCTGGCGAACTATATCATTGCATTTCGCTATCAACTGATAGTAAAATGTTCACAGCATTCGAAAAAGAATCAAATTCAGTTGTAGTATTTAGCGTAAATCCATTGATGTAAGTTTGGAAAAAAGAGATGCCGAAGCCTGAAAAAAATGAAGATGTATCTAAATACATTATTATTTCTAACGACAATCTTTATGTTGCATTAAGAAATTCGGTCAGGAAAGGAGTAG